GCACTCCGCGGCGCTGGGCCCGCTGCGCGGCATCCGGGAGCTGGGCACGTCCTACGCCCGAGCCTCAACGGGGAGGGACAGCGGGGGCGAGCACGGAGCCTCCGCGAAGCTTCATGTCGGGATCTGGATCATATACGTTAGTGTTAAGTCGGGCCTGTCCCCCTACAGGGGGATTTTCGACGAAAATTGAAACATACCCCCAAAATAGTCAAAAGATACTCCAAAAATAGTCTGAGGATTATTTTTTGAGTATTGTTAAACCTTCTTGGAGTATTATTGGGGTATTTTTTATTTTTCGTCGACAATCCCCTGTAGGGGGGCACGCCCGACTTAACGTTAGTACCAGTGGCGGGCTGTTTTGCAATCCCAGGAATTTTGGAGGCTCGGGGGCGACGCCGGGGTGGTGTGGTGTATCCTTTTTTTCCCGTTTTCCCATGGCAGCAACGAACAATGTATACACCAGGATCCTGTATGCACCAGGATCCGCTTTCCCGTGCGAGTTCCAGTGCGGGGCCCGAAAAGCGTCGGTGCATAGAGTTCGGCTCCTTCTCATTCTCAGGCAATCGCAAACATGGATCGAGGGGCGTGGATTAGCGACGGATCCCGTTTCCTTGGGAAACCGCGGATGTCCGCCGCCGAACGGGGCGGCACCGGTCGCATCTTGGGGAGGGCACCTCCCCCGATGCATGGATTTGGCGACCGCGCGCCAAATCCATGGATCGCTAATCCATGTTTGCGCGCCCCCGATCTCATACGTTTCTGCAGGATTCTTGGGCTGGAGTAGATGGGGTCGGAAGATCGCGCCGCATCGGCAGTGCATCGCCGATGCGGCTCGATGCGAACCCCGATCTGCTTCACGCCGACGTCGCCGATGCATCGCCGACGTCGCCGATGCATCGTCGATTCGAGATATGGTGATGCATTGGCGATGCGGCGCGATCCTTCGACCCCATCTCCTTAGACCCCATTTAGGAGGCCTCTATATATCAATCAGGAGGGGAAAAAGCATACAGACACAATTAATCGTCGATCCCCAGGAAAATATGGGAAAATATGGGAAGTGGGGGGGATGACAATAACAGAGAAAATGTGGGAAAATTTTAGGAATCCTTGTATTTGTTTGTATTTATTTGTGTGTCCCAGGGCCTCTTCAATCAATGGGGAGAGACGACGGGGGCGAGCACAGGGCAACCGCAAGTTCTCTCATGCCTGTCCTGCGGGATTCATGGGGTGAGTGAGCGCCTATCATTGAGTCGGGCCCGTCCCTCTACAGGAGGAGTATTCACAAATAGTCAAACATAGCCTGGGGACTATTTTTTGAGTATTTGTTTACCATGTTGGAATCTTTTCTTAGTATTTCCCTACCTAGGCTCTGCCTAGAAGGGTTCTTACTCGGAGGCTTAAAGGGGCTGGGCAGTGTAACCCGCCCCGGGCGGTTCCTCCAGGATCCGCCCCGCGGTTCCCCCAGTCCCCTGGGAGCTTTAGCTTTAGCTTTAGCTTTAGCTTAGCTTTAGCTTAGCTTTAGCTTAGCTTTAGCTTAGCTTTAGCTTAGCTTTAGCTTAGCTTTAGCTTACATTTAGCTTAGCTTTAGCTTAGCTCTAGCTGCATCCAGCTTAGCTTTAGCTTAGCTTCAGCTCAGCTTTAGCTTAGCTTTAGCTTAGCTTTAGCTTAGCTTTAGCTTAGTTTTGCTTAGCTTTAGCTTAGCTTTACTGTTACTACTAATGCTGCTTTCCTAGGGGCTCCAACTCCTAGGTAGGGTCGCACTGGGATAATTTTTATTTTTCGTCGGACATCCCCCTGTAGAGGGACGCCCGACTCAAGCCTATCACCCACGCGCGTCGGGCAGGACTGCCTCGCTGCATGCAGCCAAATGGTGTGCGAGGATCTCTGCCGCTATCGCGCCATCAGAATCCGCTAATCCGATTTGGCTCCAGTTGTCCGGGGGCGAATGCGAACGTCTATCGCTATACCGCTTGTCCGTTCGCGCTCAGACTGCGGGGATGGCTCGAGCGGGGCGCCCGTGTGTAGTCCCCGACCCTTGTCTCTGCGAGTTCCATGGCAATCTCGATACAGTCGGCCCGGCTTAGTAGGTCGACCCTGCCAAGTCGAAGGTACTTTTGTGTCCCGTGTCTCGCGACCCGTGCCTCCTGCATTCCTCTGGCAGTGTGGCCCTCGGAAGGGTCTTCTGTCCTCTCGCGTGTCCTGTCCAACGTCGGAGATGGACAGACCTCCTACCCTGACACGTCGATTAAGGAATTTACCGTTTTCGGTTCGCGAGAGGGCGTCGCGGCCGTCATTTTTGCGGGTCCATGTCCGTCGGTTTCGGTCCCAGGTCGTTTTTCTTAAAGGGAGGTTTACTAAAGGGAGGTTTGTCCACCGCCGACAATGAGGTCCGACCGCACGGCTGGCGCAGCCGTTCGGCAAACCCCGAGGCGGAGCCACCAGGGGGTGTGGCGCTTGCCCCTTCGCGCCCTGACCGTGTGGGATGTCTCGAGCGAAGTGCGGGTGGGGGCACCACGGGCTACTCTCATATAGGAAATTCTACACTCTTCGCGTACCTCCACCAGCAAGGTCCGTGAGCGTACCTGGTGATTTCCTCCCACGGTACCCACTTCGAGTTCGAGCGCGCTTGCACCCTCGGACTCTGTTCTTCCTGGTTGCGCGCCGCCTTCCGGGTCTGCCCGTCTGGTAGCACCGCCTCGCTAGGCAGACGTTCGGTCTGTAGATACAGAACAGGACGACATCTCCTGGCGTGCAAGATCCAATTCACCCGCACTTATGCATCAGCCCCCCTGGCCTTTTGCAGTCAGCTCAGCCAGCTCAGCCTCAGCCTGCGGCTCCACCGGCGGTAGGTTCTGAGTGCGGGCTCGGCCGCTGTGCTCTTAGGCTGGCGCGTTGCTAACTTGACAGGCCCGTGGCCCGGACCTCTCAGCTCGGCGACTGCGAATCCGCGTCCGCCCGCGACCAAAAAAATATCCCCACCAGCTCATCCAGAAGCGATGCCCAGGCGAGTTGAGGTGATCAGGGAAGTGCGGCAGCAAAGAGGAGGTCGGCCGAACCGCGCAAAGGAGTGAGGAGGAGAAGGAGGAGGTGGATGGATGGATGGATGGATGAGGGAGTGGGAAGAAGAGGATGAATAGGATGAGGAGGGGGCGGAGGAGGAGGAGGAGGAGGAGGAAGAGAAGGAGTAGGAGCAGGAAGGAGGAACAGGAGGAGGAGGATGAGGGCAAGCACAAGGGCCAGCGGTCTCTTGGATGCCTCTCGGAGCCTCTTGGAGTATCTCGTGGGCGATTCTTGGTGGCCTCTTGGGACGTCTTGGGGGTCTCTTGGCGATCCTGGGGGGCTCTTCGGGGTCTTGGGTGCCTGGGGGGGGGCCCCTTGGGGCCGCTTAGGGTCTTCTTGGGGGCCTCCTGGGGGCCTCTTGGGGGCCTCGTGACGCCATCTTGGGGCCATGTTGGGACCTCTTGGGGCCTCCTGGGCGCTTCTTGGGGCCATCTCGCAGGAGATCGGTCAACGAAGAGGGGTCCCTCAATTAAGGCCCCCCCCGGGAGGCCAAAATGGGGCCCAAACCGTCTTGAAATCAATGATGTAGGCTTCCTCGCCGAGGCCGTTTTGGGCGCTCTAACTACCCACGGCCCCCCCCGTCCAGGTCCAGGGGAGGGGGTAGGGGGAGGGGTCAAAACCCTCTCCCCGCCCGCAAGCCGTCTCGCTCACTCCCACCCGCCCTCCCAACACATACGTAGCACCCGGGTCTGGCCCGAGCCTCAGCATATTCAGCAGTCGTCTTTGGATGGGCAGCTACTGGGTGCCAGTCCGCCGCCGCCGCCGCTGCCTCCGCCGCCGCCGCCACCGCCGCCGCCGCCGCCGCCGCTGCCCGCCGCCGCCGCCGCCGCCGCCGCCGCCGCCGCCGCCGCCGCCGCCGCCGCCGCCGCCGCCGCCGCCGCCGCCCGCCGCTGCCAAAGCCGCCGCAGCCGCAGCCGCTGCCGCCACACCGCCGCCGCCGCCGCCGCCGCCGCAGCCGCCGCCGCCGCCGCCGCCCCCGCCGCCGCCGCCGCCGCCGCCGCCGTCGCAGCCGCCGCAGCCGCCGCCGCCGCCCTCAAGTGTACTCTGTATTTTTTTGACAGGGATGGTAGGGGGGGCCGCATCGGGTTGGCTGCGCATGTTCCGAATTTGGAGGCAGAGTATGTTTTGTAATTTTTTTTACAAGGGATGGTGGGGGGGTGTTGTCATGGACTCGGGTTGGCCCCCAGTCGCCGGGGGAGGGGGTGTTCATTAATAGGGAACAGTGATAAACCCCTCCCCGGAGGGGAAGAGGGAGGGGTGGAAGAGGAAACGCCCTAAACCACCGACGCCCAGACGGTTTGTGGGATTCTGCAGCTGCCTCTGGCAATTCCGCCACCGTGCCAGCGCAGCTGGGTGGCAACTATTCGAGACGACAAGGGAGCCTAATGGGTGCCGGTTGGGGCAGAAGGGGATGGGGCAGAAGGCTCGAACTCTTGGTTCGTGCTCGCACTCTTGGACCCTTCGTGGGGCCGCCTTGGGCCGTCCAGGGATCCTCTTAGGCTGTCTTGGGTCCTTTCACCGTCCTTTCAGGGCCAGCTTGAGGCGTTCTTGAGTCCATCTTGGGCAGTCCAGAAACCTCTTTAGGATGTCTCGAGGCCGTCTTGGAGGCCTCTTGGGCTACCTTGAGGTCCCGTTGGGTCGTCGTGGAGCCATCTGGGGGGCCTCTCTGGCCGTCCTGAGCCGACGGATTCTCGAAACGGCGATCATGCGGACGTGATGTTGACCTCTTCGAGCCTTGCTGGAGGCCCTCTTGGAGCCGCCCTGGCCCATCGGAGGTCTTTTTGGGGGCCGTGATGGAGGCCGCGCTCAGTGCTGGCGGCCTTGGTGGCCTGCCTGGGCCGTCTGCACAGCCATTCCGGGCATTATTCCCGCCGCCTCGGATAGCGTTAAGCCGGGCGTGTCCCCTTGCAGGGCGATTTTCGACGACAAATAAGACATACCCCAGAGATAGCCAAACAATAATCCAAAACATAATCCGGGGATTATTTTTTCAGTAATTGCTTGGCCTTTTTGGTGCATTTTTGGGGTATTTTTCATTTTTTCGTCGAACATCCCCGTGTAAGGGGACACGCCCGACATAACGCTAGTGGGGCTTACGTCGGGCCTGTCCCTCTACAGGAGGAGTATTAAAAAATAGTCAAACATAGTTTGGGGACTACTTTTTTTTTTGTTTTGTAAGTTTAGTGTTTTTTTGTCGAGTAGTTTGTATTTTTCGTCCCACATCCCCCTGTAGGGGGAACAGGCACGACCTAATGCCAGGCAGCATTTGGCATTCTGGCACGTCTCAACGTGCCGGGGGGCACGGTGTCGGATATGTTGGACCTCGACGGACAAGCTGTTTGAACCCGCTCTTTGAACGCCGCCCCACCTGAGCACAGGCTTCCGTGCATCGTGTCGTGCGTCACGTGCGTGCGAAGTTGAGTGTGGCAATGACGCTGCCGTCTGGCGGAGCCATCCTGCTCGCTCCTGTTGTCGAGTTCTCACTGCTAAAGAATGATACTTGTTGATCCCCCCCTCCGGTAACCATTGCATTTTTCAGTACAAGTGTTTCTCCCGGGGCTTGCACCGGTTTTTCTTTTCACAAAGGAAAGCGAGGGGTCACCAAACTTGGACCCTGGCACCCGGCTTACAACAACAACGGCTCCCGCTGAAGGTGTCCTCACAACTTATTCCCAAATCGCGCTCTCGCGTGGGACGTCATCACAATGCGTACAGGAATCGCGCTCCCGTGTGGTGCTTCCTTGCCATTTATTCAAACGCCGCGCCCTCGACACCCAGGGATCACGCTCTCGCTGTGGATTTTTCGGACGATTTATTTGTGAATCGCGCTATCGCTCGAGACTTTCTCAACTGAGACTTGTCTGTGATCAGGTTGGTCTTGTACTGCGCCGTGGAGGAGCAATAGCAGTTACGAGTCGCATCGGCATGCACCAGCTGCTCATCTTCTCGGACGGCTTTCTCTGGCCCGCATCATGGCCAAACAAACCGTCTGGGGTGCTGTCAGGAGGAGTGCGGCGAAGGGGGAGACACCGCGCAGAAACGACGAAATGATCGCCCATTGCGGCGTGACTGCCTCAGGCTGCCCAGAATGTCGTGCGATCGGGGTCGGTGATGCGTCGACGATGCCAGGTCCCCACGACCCCACGTACTCCCCCGAAGTCTTTCCAGGGACGGGGCCTATGCGGATGTGATTGCGCCCCCATCATGCCCCTCGCCCCTGTGGAGTTGCCTACGCTTCGCGCATCCCTACCAGCCCATGCAGAGAAGCTACAGTGCCGTTTTTAATACATGCTCCGGGTGCGGATCATGTATTACAAATGCAGGGATTTAGTATTAAAAACAACGATGAGTTCATGCATGAACTCACTCATACATTAAGCATGACTCAACCATATGTGTTTAAATCCGATGTATTACAAAAAAACTGCCCTGTACCCAAACCACAGCTGGCGAGCATGCCGAGCAGGAACAGTCAGCTATATGTGATGCCGCTGTATCAGAGGAGGGAGCAGGGTGGCGGTCGGGACGCCTCCTTTCGAATGAGGGTGGGGGGAGGGGCAGGGAAGAGGAGGGGAAGTAGGAGGAGGATGAGAAGGATGGGCAGGAGGAGGAGGCTGAGGAGGGGGGGTAGGAGGGGCAGGGAAGAGGAGGAGAAGTAGGAGGAGGAGGGGGGGGGGGTATGAGGGGCAGGGAACAGGAGGAGGAGGCTGAGGATGGGGAGGGGCAAGGAAGAGGAGGAGGAGGAGGAGGAGGAGGAGGAGGAGGAGGAGGAGGAAGAGGAGGAGGCTGAGGAGGGGGGGCCTTCCAGTCGGACGTTTCGCTCTGAAGGGCCTTGTGCTCTCTTGGAGCCACCTCGGGATGTCTTGTGCCATGGTGGGCGCGATCTTGGGCTATCCAGAGCCCTCTAGGAGCCATCCTGTTGCCCTCTTGGGGGTCTCTCGAAATTCTCTTGTGAGCCCCGGGGGTGGCGTGTGGGAATCATATTTTGGGGGGCCTCTTGGTACCATCTTGGAGCCCTCTTGAGCTTCTCTTCGGAGGCCCTCTTGAGGGCCCTGTAGTCTTTCTTGGCACCAACCTGGAGGACATCGATCAAGGGGAATGGTCTTAATCAGCGCTGCCTCTCTTGAGCCGCTAGGGGCCTTCTTGGGGCGCGTTTGAGCTACTCTTGGGCGCTCTTGGGCCCCTCTGAGGGTTCTCTTGGGCCATCTTGGAGCCATCTTGGGAGCCTTGGAGACCTTCTTGGGACCATCTTGGCGGACATCGATCAAATGTGGGGTTCCTTAATCAGCCCTGCCCCCCCCGGAGGCCAAGCTTGGACCAACACCAAAAGAACTTCTATGCTTTTGGCCTTCTCGGTGACGTCATCTTGGACGCTCTAACGATCCTCCGTCGCCCCCCCCGTCCAGATTCAGGGGTGGGGGATAGGGGGTAGGGGTCAAAACACTTCTCCCGGACGCAAACTGTCTATCCCCACCCGCCATCCCACCACACAAGCAGTACCCGAGTCAGCCTCAGCATACTCAGTGGTCGTCGTGGAATGGGCAGCTATGGCGGGAACCCATCCAGGCCTCAGGTGCGCGCTGCGAGGGCGAGGTGCGCCACGCGTATCGGGCGCATGCTCGAGCCGCGGCAGGTGCACCACCCGCACCAATGCACACTCGCGGTGAGGCGGCCATCATGACGTCTGGTGGGCCTGCACGCAGCAGGCAATCTGCCAGCACCCCCGCCACCCCGTGATCGCGGGGTGCCTTCGCATGGTCCAATAGAGGCCGCGACGTGCAGTATGTATTTCGTGTTTGACAGAGGTTGTGGCCCCTGCGCGCAGCAGGCCATACGCTGTCCCCCCCCCCACCCACCCCCGCCGTCCTGCAAGGTGCTCGCGCCACCCCGCGCATGACGCAATATTTTGCCGCAGTGTGCGACTTGCATTTTTTGTGTGCGTGCAGGGGTGGTGTGGGACTGGGCGCATGGTCCCGAGTTTGTCGCCAGTAGGGCGTGGGAGCGGGTCGATGTGGATAAGGAACAGTTAAGAACCCCTCGCCGGTTGGAAGAGGAAACGCCCTAAGCCACCTGGGGCCTAAAGGGCGGGTGCGGTGGGGTGGGGTTTCTCCTTCAGGAAGGCGGAGAATACCTATCGTCTTTGGTTTGGGGATCCGAGGTTCGAGAGAGCTTCACATTCATGGAGACACTGGAGAGCAAGGACACGCAGCTCCGATGCCCTCGCCCTCGCGCACACTGAACTCACCCCTGACTGTTGTTCTCCTGCCATCTGATCCTTCCTTCCTTTCCTCTCCTTCCCTCTTCGCCTCTCCTTGTGTTCATTTCTGGGTTTCAGCTGCCAGTGCAGGTGTATCGCTTCCATCTGCCATTTGGGCACTGCTACTGCATTTTGAGCCAGCTGCTATTGCTGCGACACCGTTGTAGTTCGATTGCCGCTGGGCATTCAATGAAGTTCAAGCCGCGTGAAGGAACACACCGTATCGAGATCTCATCGCGAACACCGGTATTGCGAGTTCCGTAATTTTCTTTGTCTTTGCGAGGGACGCAGCAACATAGCCGCTGAAGCGCAGACAATATCGGAGATTTGGCTGTGATGACTGACTACTCGTTCGCATCACGTACACACTAAGACGCCGCGAGAGTCCGTGCGGACAACAAGGATGATGTCAGGTCTGACATGTTCAAGTCTCTGCCAGTGTACTGTTTTCGCGAGGGCCCACGCATCTGATCCTTGATGACAATGATCCTGGCTGGTTCCCGAGAGTCCCGTCTGTCCCCTGTGCTCTCATCCTTTGCTCAAGCCACCACCCACAGAGTTCCTCGCTTGGGCGGTCCCGGAGTCCTCTGACCCGTGACGGGGCCGCAGAGCCACGCTTCCTCGGGCCTGAGGACCACCACCCCTCCTCTGCCCCCGCCTCCGAGACTCCTTTCTGCTCTTGCGGTGCCTCGGGTCTCGCCCTCCGCGAGCTGAGGCCCCGCCTGCCACTTCGGAGGGGCCGGGCCTGCCCTGGCGCTCCTCGGCGGTGCCTCGCTGCGCCCAGGCCCTCGGGAACCCGAAGGGCTACTGCTTACCACCAGCCCCGAGCGTATCCCTATCCCCAAGATCGACACGCCAAAAGGCGATGACAATCTCGGGGATGCGCCCTCGAAAAATAAGGGAGTCCCCAAGATTGGCGTCGTGATGAGGAGGTGGCCGGCACAGGGATAGGGATATGTTCCAGGCTGGTAAGCTGCTTCGGGCCCTTGGGCTTCTGCCTCGGCTTCTGCCATGGGCCACGCGTCTGCCTCGGCGGCTCGCGGGGGCCGGCGCGTGTCTCACGATGCTTGGCCTGGGGCAGGGCCCACGCCCACGGTTTATAACCGTGTCAGCGCTCCCAGACATCTGTCAGGAGGGAAAAAATGCACACCGACACAGTGAATCGTCGATTCCCCCGAAAAATGTAGGAACATCTGGGAAGCGTAGGGGGGAAGACAAAGACCTACAAAATATTATTTATCGCTTCGCTCATTCCGCCGGCCCTGGCGCGCTTTTTTGGGCCTCTTGGGGCCGTCTTGGGGGTTTCTTGGGGGCTTCTTGGGAGCGTCTTGGGGCTCCTTGGCGGCGTCTTGGGCTCCCCTGGGGCCTCTTAGGGGGCTCTTGGGGGCCCCTTGGGGCGGGAGGGGGGGTAGTCGATTGCAGCCACCCCCTCGGAGGCCACGATCCTCGTGCGGGGTGGCGAAAAATAGCCTCCCCCCTGGGGATCGCCCGGGACCCAGCCGGGACCCGGCCGGGGATCGGCCGGAGTACTTTTCGTCCGGGGGGCCCCAGGGGCCGCCCCGCGCGCGCGAACTAGAAATATTGTTAAGTAGTTACGGGAGATCTTAGCACGCCTCTGGCCCGTTGGGCCAGCGAATTTGTGTCTATTTATTTGTGTGTCCCAGGGCCCCTTCAATCCGGGCGGGCGTGCCCGGGTGCACACCGAGCGCTGCGGCACTTCGCAAGAGCCGGGGACTGCTCGCAGTGGCGCGCGCAGTGCCACATCCCGCCCACCGACTGGGAGTCCATCGCGAGGGCACAGAGTCGAAGAAGAAGAAGAAGACTACTGATCATAGTAACAAGAATACTAATGATGAGAATAATAACAATAATAAGAATAATAACAATAAGGAATAATGATAAAAATAATAATAATAACGATGATAACAAGAAGAGTAAGAAGAATAAGAAGAATAAGAAGAAGAAGAAGAAGAAGAAGAATAATAAGAAGAAGAAGAAGTGCCACCCTCGCGGCAGAAGACCCGAGCACCGCTCGTGCCGGGGTTGCCACACCAGGGCGCCACGATGAGGGGGGGGGCACGATAGGGGCCACGAGGGGGGGCCAACGATGGGGGGGGCCACGATGGGGCCACCGCTTCTGGGGGCCCAGGCTGCGGGGGGCCACGCGGGGCTGCCGATCTCGGGGGCCCAGGCTGCTTCGCCGGGCGGCTCTGGCAGAATACACATCGGGGGCCTCGAGACGGGGGTCAATGCAGACGGGGGTCAGCCACGGCACCGGATCCCGCAGGATCCTGCGAAGACCCCTTCTGGCTGACCCGGGTTAGCGAGCCGCTCGTGGCCGCGAGGGCGGCCGCGCATATTGGTTGACCCGGGTTTGCGAGGACCTGCGTTGCAGTTTTTTTATTCTGCATTGCAGTTTTTGGTTTCCCGCTGACCCGGGTCTGGATTGACCCGAAGCCCCTCTAGGACCGCAAGCCCCAAGACGCGCCAAGAGGGCGCCGAGACGGCCCAAGCACGCTCCAAGCAGCCCAATCTAGTTTCAAGTAGGCTCAGTGGGCCCCCCCCCCAAAAGGCACCAAGAGGACCCCCAAGAAGATCCCAGGAGGCCAACATGTTGATGTCCTTCGAATTTTTGTGGAGCGGTTTTAGCGTTCATTATCGCCTTCTGGGTTCTACAATGCCCCAAGGCGGGCGAAGAGGTCCGCAAGGCGGCTCCGAGAGGCCCCCTTGACCGCCCCTCTGCGATGCAAGAGAGCGCCAAGTCGGCCCCAAGACAGAGAGCGGGAATCAGAACGGACATTTCGAGCCTTCGGACGTTACAAGCCCCCAGGAGGCCTCCGAGGCTCTCACAAGAAGTCCCAAGAGGCCACCAGGAGACCCCCAGGAAGCACCACGAGGAGCCCAAGAGGTCCCCCCCAGAAGCTCCCCGAAGCCTTCCAAGAGCGCCCCCCAAAGGCATCCAAACAGACTTTCAACATGGTTTTGCAAGGCTCTTTCACGAGCTCACGGGCATGTCCCCCTTGGCTGCCCTGGGTCCTCCTCGTGCTCGTGGCCGATTTGCGCGCCTTCCTGGAGCCTTCCTGGGCGCTTGCAGAAACAGTTGGAGGATTCGCAACTTCTGTTTTTTCCCGCAGTTTCCCAACCCGCCTTCTCACACTCCTTCTCGTGGCCTTCCCACGTGCTACCGTTCCTGTCTGTCACCTCCCACCTCCTCCATCTCACTTCCAAGTTCCACCTCCTCCTCCCCCGTTGAAGGTTTTCGAAGGGTTCTGCCTGGCTGTCTCTCGGGCTTTTAAGCCTCCCTCGGGTTAGCCTGGGCTCCTGTCGTCGCCATCTTCCGCGCCTTCCCGGGGCCGTCCTCAGTGCCTGCGCGCTCCTTCCCATCGCCCTCCGCCTCCTCCGTCGTCGATGGGGGAGCAGGGTTGGAAGCTCCAGACTTCCCTATGCAATTGTTATATGTAATCACTTCGCTCATTCCGCCGGCCCATCTTGCACGCCTTGGAGACCTTTTGGGGCTTCCCGGGGGCCTCTTCGGGCGCAACCTCCCAGGGTGTCCCGAGGTGCCCCCCCGGCCGCGAGATGCGGTCAAGTGGGGAGTGCCCCGGGGGCTGCCCGGGGGGCGTCGACCTCCAGCGTCGGGGGCAACTTTGGAGCTTGAGCCACAATGGCCACGGAGGGTGGGAGGGCAGGAGGGGCGGAGCAGGAGGGGGAGCGGCGTGAGGGGAGAGCCCGGGTTCTAGGTCCCCTAGATGGGGTCGGAGTAATCAGATGGGGTCGGAGGATCGCGCCGCATCGCCTGTGCATCGGCGATGCGGCTCGCTGTGGAGCCCGATGCTCTTCGCGCCGACGTCGCCGACGCAGCGCCGGAGTCGCGGATGCATCGGCGATGCATCGGCGAGGCGTCGGTGATGCCTCGGCGATGCGTCACGATCCTCCGACCCCATCTGCTCGGACCCCGTCTGGGAGACCTCTGCGGGTGCCGCGAGGGCCTCCGCCGCTGCCCCCCCCCGCCCCCCCCCCCCAAAGGAGCCGTTGACCTCCCTGACGCGCTCGTGGAGCGACAGCGACCTGTCGGCCTTCCGCGAGGCGCTGGACGACTCCGCGCTGGGGCGGGGCCTGTGAGGCGTTGGGTGCCTCGCGGCCGCGCCCCGCACGTGCAGAGACGGCTTGGGGGCGGGAG